TGGAGCACTGGGTGTTATACGCAAACAATGAATCATGGAACACTACATCAAAAACTAATGATGTAATGTATGGTGATTAACATGACATAATAAAATAAAATTTAAAAAAAAGAAAAGAAACCAGGTAATAGTAACAGCTGCCATTCATTGAGTGCCAGATACTGTGTAGCTACTACCGAAGTTAATTCTCACAGAGGCTCCTATGACTATCAGCCCTCCCCCACTCTTTGCAAAGGACAAGGGTAGTTTGTCGATTCTATATAAAAATGCCCTGTAAGCATAACTTTGAGTTCCCTTGCCCACCAGAATCCAGCCCCCAAGACCCTCTGGGTCAAGTCAGGTCCTCCAGGAAGCAGATGCTGAGATGGAGTTGGGGGTGGGGGCGGGTAACGCCCATGAAAGAAAGGGGAAGAAGCAGGATCCGGCAAGGACTCAGATCTGACAAAGATAAATAACCTAACAGGAAGCGCCAGAACAAAAACTCATTGGAGGAGCCCCACTGGGCAGAAGTATTATGGCCCCAGTCCCCCCCACCATGTTTAGCCACTGGCTAGGGGATGCCCTGGAAGAAGAGCTCGGCCTTGCCCCGAAAACCCTGCATCTGGAAGCCGCCATTTCTCGATCTCGGTGACGAGCTCTTTTTTGAAGGCAGAACCAGGTGCCTCACCTTTGGCTGCCACGTTCTCCTATATTAAAACTCAAGGAGTCAAGACTGCTCCCCCAGGGGCGCCTGGGTGGCTCAGTTGGTTAAGTGACTGCCTTCGGCTCAGGTCATGATCCCAGGGTCCTGGGATCGAGCCCCGCATCGGGCTCCCTGCTCGGCGGGAAGCCTGCTTCTCCCTCTCCCACTCCCCCTGCTTGTGTTCCCTCTCTCTCTGTCAATTAAATAAATAAAATTAAAAAAAAAAAAAAAAAGACTGCTCCCCCAGCCAGGCAGTCACGCCAGCTCATGCCCTTCCAACACCTTTAATGTACCTCTGTTTTGTAGGCACTTCTTTTTTTTTTTTATGATTTTATTTATTTATTTGAGAGAGAGAGAATGAGAGATAGAGAGCACGAGAGGGAAGAGGGTCAGAGGGAGAAGCAGACTCCCTGCTGAGCAGGGAGCCCGATGCGGGACTCGATCCCGGGACTCCAGGATCATGACCTGAGCTGAAGGCAGTCGCTTAACCAACTGAGCCACCCAGGCACCCTTATAGGCACTTCTTACTCCTGCAATTTACATGTAGTGGTAGGATTATTTGATAAATGTCCCTCATCCTATTAGAGCACGTGAGGGCAGGAATCATGTCCATTGCTATGTGCACAGCATATAGGAAGTGTTGCTCAATATATATCTGCTGAATGACTGGTGGGCATTATGCCTGACACTTGGAACGAAGCAAACCATAGTCCCTTTCCTCAGAAAGTTCATGGTTTAATTGAAGACGCAGAAGAGAAGTAGTGAAGTTGCTCATTAATTCACTCGGTGGTGAGATATTTAACAGTGCCTGCGCTGTACCAAGAGCTGTGCTCAGGCTGGACGTACAATGATGAGTAAAACTGATATGGTGCCGCCTTCTTCAGGGCTATAGTCCAAAAGGGCATGCAGAAGAGCAAATAGGCCTGTATGAAGAATGAATAACCTCACATCATTCCCAGCTGCCTAGAACAGCATATGCAAAGGCCTATGGGCAAGACAGAGGCCATGGTGCATTGGAAGGACTGGAAGGAATTTGCAGCATGAAATATGAGGTGGGGAATGAAAATGGGGAGGCAAGGCCATATTTTTTTATATTGATTACAGGTTGATACAGTAACATTTAAGATATAATGGAGTAGATAAAACATTAATTTTACTTGTTTCTTTTTACCTTTTTAATTTAATTTGATTTTTTTATTTTTGAAAAAGATTTTATTTATTTATTTGACAGGGAGAGTGAGGGAGCACAAGCAGGGGGAGCAACAGAGGGAGAGAGAGAAGCGGGGTTCAATCCCAGGACCCTGGGATCATGACTTGAGCTGAAGGCAGACGCCCAACCAACTGAGCCACCCAGGCATCCCTCTTTTTACCTTTTCTTAAATATGGTTACTAGAAAATTGTAAATTACATACATGGCTTGCATTTTGTTTCTAGTGGATAGGGCTGGGTTAGAGAGTGCTTAGTGGACCGTTATTAAGTATGCTTCCTAAAGATTAACTTGCATTGACAAGGCAGACAGACAGCCCTGCCAAAACTGAATTCAGAGTCCCCAGGGTAAGGAAACAGCCACCGAGAAAGCAGATCCTCTGGTGGGGTCACCCCATGGCCAAATGCACATAAGCCCATCTAGTTCCTGGAATATCTCTGTGTTGTTCCTTCTGCCCTGATGGCTATGGATGTCCCAGCGCAGCGGCGCCTGCACTCAGTAATGTGGGGTAGAGGTTAAGTGCCCGTTGGTTAGGCCGAGGGACTCCACCCAGGTTCAAACCCCCACTATGCTCCTTGCTGGTGGTGTATCTTTGGCCATTTACTCTCTGCATGTCAGATTTCCGCCTCTGCAGAAAGATGAATACTAGCCACCTCTCAGAGTCATTGTAGGATTAAATGAGATACTACACATTTAGCACTTGGAATTATCCTTGCTATCAATAAGCGCTCTGGCTCAGCCCTACCCACTAGAAACAAAATACAAGCCACATACGTAATTTAAGACTTTTTAATAGCCACAGTTAAAAAGGTAGAAGGATGCCTGGGTGGCTCAATCAGTTAAGCCTCGGACTCTTGATTTCCACTCAGGTCATGATCTCAGGGTCCTGGTATCAAGTCCCCCATAGGGCTCCATGCTCAGCGCAGAGTCTGCTTGTCCTTCTCCCTCTGCTCTTCCCTCAGCTTGTGCTCTCTCTCTCTCAAATAAATAAACAAAATCTTTTTTTT